AATCTGTGACACATGTCGGGAATGTAGAGCATGGGAACGTCCAGGTAATTCTACGCTACCTTCCGTAAGCCTTCCTGAATTGGCTTGACGAAGGCGAATTAGATCTCATGTTTTACAAGAACCGGACCATATTTCATAGTATGGACCGATGCGTCCGCCTGGCAGCAGGCCAAGAGATTCCTGATAGAGAACGTGACGCTATACTCGACGCCTACCACTACTGCTGGATTGCCTATCATGGACCCTTCAAAGTCTTGTATTCAGATGGAGAAGGCGCCCTCAGCAATGACACTGCCAAGGCCATGATGGCGAACAAAGGTACGACACTTCGTATCCGAGCGCCTGGCCAACACGCGACCCCGATCGAGTCACGCAACGGCATTCTTAGGGGCACTCTCCATATGATTGAGGAAGAGCTGAACAGACACAACATCCCCGTTGTATTTACTAGAGTACTGGCTGAAGGCATCTTCGTCACCAACGCTTTCACGTTTTACAACGGAGTATCGCCGTACCAAGCACACACTGGGCGACAGCCCTCTTGTCTTCCTGACCTCGACACCCCTGACTTCCCTAAGGGACCCGAGACGTCAGGCCACGAACGAGAACGCCGTGTGAGGGAAGTTAGCCTGGAAGCAATAACTCAAGCCACGGCGGTAGCTAAGACAAATCGTGCTCTCAGGGCTAAGGCGGCCCCAGATGGTGCTCGCCTTTACTCAGCTGGGGGCTTGGTCGATCATCACCGACCTACAGCCACTAAGGACGACCATGGAGGCTGGAATGGCCCGTTTCCTGTGATCCGTAGCGTGCCTGAACGAGGACACGTCGTCGTCAAGGCAGGATCGCGTGAGGTAATTGTAGTGTACCCTGATGCTCGCCACACGCTATACATCGAATGCCTTCTTACCAGGGAACTTGGCATGGGCAACATGGCCATGCAAACCGTCCTTACATATGTGGCACACCTTGGTGCAGGGAAACCTGCCAAAGTCTGTGGCTATATTCCAGACTACAAAGGAAACCTCAATCTTTCCGACGACAGCAAGTTTCACTCGCGCGTACATCTTGCATTGCAGTATGTCGTGCGAAATTATTTCCGAGTTGAACGTGCAGTAGCCGTGAGATTAGCCAAGAGCGCGTCCAATCTACCTGCAGTAAAGTACGCCACCGGGTCTACACTCATCCACTACGACAATGATGTTAACCCAGCCTTCCACTATTATGAGTGTGGGGGCACCGGCCTGAACATCTCTCAAATCACTGGTAGCACTCACTCCAGACTCATCCAGTGCCTGACGTCACAAGTTCCTCCCCTAGGATTTCATGACGGCCTTGCCAAGTATCAGCACTTGGGCACAACGTCTGGAGAACACGACCAGCCTGGAGACAGGCCTCCTCCAGACACCCCAGGTGTTTCATCACCAAGTGAAGGTCGCCTGTCTACAACCTACGAAGAAAGCGAGGAACACGACATCGAGGATATGATGATGGAGGAGTGGTACGATGAGTTACGTATGGACTTTCATCCCACAACGGTTATCGACGACTATCTCTACTGCGCCCCAACAACCATGCTGCCCGACCAATGTGTCTTGGTCTCAGCATCCGTGGACGAGGAAGATACTGTAGTGTCGGAGATGCTCGGAGACGAGCCTGAACTACAAGAGCCCTGTCTTATCTCTCTATGCTCGACTACACCTGACGAGGGCTATTCGCTTGACAGTGATGAACATGGTCCCTATGTTGAGCTATGTTTCACGCCAGAAATGTCAAAGGTAGTGTTGGATCAGACCCAACTTGCACAGCTTGAAACAGACGTGGTCGCAACGATGAGAGTATATGTCTCATCGGCTGCTAAACGTGCCGTGGTAGTCAAGGAAGACGACCTACTCGCCAAAGCCGATATCGCAGCACTTCCTAAAGAGGTTAGTGAAGCCCTGCACACCGAACTCAAGATCTGGCTTGACAGCCGATGCTTCGAGATGTATGACCTATCTAAAGCTTCCAACATCATGACATCCAGATATGTATACAAGTGGAAGTTTGTGAAGGTAGTCACCGAGAATGTTAAAACCATCCGTCTTAGACTTGTCCTTCGCGGATTCATGGACACGGAGGCGTTCGATGTAGAAACCTTCTCAGGAACTGCTCGAAGACAGCCCCAGAGGCTCCTGGCAAGTGAGGCGGCATGTCTTCCCAGATGGATCTTAGCACCTATGGATATCGACAAAGCGTTCTTCAAAGGACTGACCTATGAGGAACTTGCTCATGCCACCGGCGACGGCGAGGAAACTCGCATGGTTTGCTTCGCCCTTCACCAGGAAGTGCCCAGGTGCTTCGTACACTACCAGGCTTCTCTTCTCACGATGAAAGCCGACACTGTCTCAGGTGTCTCAAGCCAGGAACGGGTGCAATGGACGCCCCAAGAGCGTTCTCCCTCAAGCTTCGTACGACTACACGAGCTATAGGCCTCACACCGACAAGTCACGACCCTGAGTTTGAATTCAGTCAGGATCTGTTAACGGCAAAACATGTCGACGACATCAATATGACAGGCCTAGAGAAAAACGTAGATGACTATGTACAACGTGTCGAAAAGGTGTTTGGTAAATGCAAGCTCAACAAACATTATTACACGAACTGCGCCGTTCGCTACACGACGAATGAGCAAGGGGATGTGATCACGGATCAGGGCGAGTACATTAAACATTTGCGTCCTATCACACGCCCTGAACTTACGGGAGCGGCGGCAGACGCCAAAGCTACCAAACTCATCACCGACATGTTCGTTAGCCTTCGAGGAGCTCTCGCCTATGCCCTTCTTTTTCAAGTCTGGCTAATGGTGTATGTGGTCTCTCTTTAGAAGATCCAAGAGCCCACCAACTTACAAGTCAGACGACTGAATGCTGTGGCGCGAAAGCTGATCAGCAGCCCGAAACGCATCACCTCCCCTCGGATGAAACCGACGAATGAAGTAGACATACACAGTGATTCGGGGCATCGGAAGCTCACCGGAGAGGAGGACGATGAAACCAAGGGCTACGGTATTCGCGGGGCTAACGTATTACGGCGAGGAAACTCGCCTCAAGGCCAATCCGTCATTCACCTTTGTGACGGACTATGCAAATCACACCGACTGCAGGTGAGGTCCAGCTATGCCGCTGAGGCACTTGCAGCGGCACGAAATCTTGATGCATGTTATCCCACGCTCATCACTTTTCACGAGCTCAAGGCAGGGGCACTGACTTCACGACAACTACGAGATATGCGTGAAGTTGGAGGCCTAGCTATCAACGTGTCCCTTACTGTAGACGCTGAGTCTGTATACACATCGCTATCCAGCAAAGATGTTAATATACCGACGGAACGGACTTTGCTGGGACATATCAGCTGGAAACGTGAGCTCATGAATATAGGTATAGTGCATAACGTACAGTGGTGTGATACTAGAGACATGACCGCAGATGGGCATACAAAGGAGAGTATCGATCGTGAGCTGCTTTTGGAAGTGATGTCAGGCGCTCAGTCATTTAAGTATGACGTGAAGCAGTTTGTTCCCTTTCGCGGCCCCGAGGACAGGAACAGCCTAAGTCGAATCAGTTTTAGTCTGTCCTTGTTGCCCCCGCGGTCCAGTTTGCCAGCACGGGCGCCTAATGGAGAGGCGCCCTCTCAGCTGCTCGGAAACGAGCCATACTTTTCACGCTTGGAAGCGAGCCTGTTCAGTTTGGTTCAGGCTCTTTGTTTTAATGCCCTTTTGCCTGGAGGGGAATGGCCTGTTTGGCTTGCCTCTAGCCGGGCCGATAGCCCCTGTATATCCAAGGGGCTATCCTGCGTGTGCGTGGAAAAGTTTTGCGAGGAAACTCGCCGGCGAATAATATCGCCCTTCAGTCTGGTGGTGGGCCAGACTGTGCGCGCTGTTTTTCTTGCAAACAGTTGCGACCGCGGCCTTTCTAGAGCCTAACGGCTGCGCGGCTTTGCTCTCCGTCTCATCCCCTCCCGACTTTGAGGTAGCTCTTTGGGAGATGTTATGGAGGATCGGGAGTGTAGCCTGCGCGCCGTTGGCTTTGGCTCAAGGCACGCGCGCCCTATTTGCCCGGACTCTTACCTTTGTGTTCGCTACGTGCTGGAAACATCATTACATCGAACTTATCCTATCCTACCCATCCACTCCCCATGGAATCGGATGCTATTTGACTTGCCAGAGTCATTTCAGACTCCCCAAACCCAATCTGGCACACCCCTCACACGCGTCGTGGCCCCAAACGGAGCTCCACCGAAGCCACCAGTAGGACCGCCCGCATGCGCCCCCCAAACCCAGTTTGGCACACCCGTCGCACGCTTCGTGGCCCCCCATAGGGAGCTCCGCCGAATCCTAGTAGGGCCGCCCGCGTGCGCCCCCCAAACCCAAGTTGGCACACCCGTCACACGCTTCGTGGCCCCGTCGGGAGCTCCACCGAAGCCCCCGATGAGACCGCCCGCATGCGCCCCCCAAACCCAATGTGGCACACCTCTCACACGCTTCGTGGCCCCATAGGGAGTTCCACCGAAGGCCCTGGTGCCACCGCCCGTATGCGTCACCCACATCCATGTACCCACACCCCTCACACGCTTCGTGGCCCCATGGGGAGCTCCACCGAAGGCCTTGGTGCCACCGCCCGCATGCGTCACCCACGCCCATTCCGGCACACCCCTCACGCGCTTCGTGGCCCCATTGGGAACTCCACCGGTGGCGCCAGTGGCTGCGTTCGCATGCGCCCACCGCGCCCATTTCGGCACACCCATCACACGTTTCGCGGCCCCATAGGGAGCTTCACCGACGGCCCCAGTGGCTGCGTCCGCATGCGCCCACCGCACCTATTTCGGCACACCTCTCACGCGCTGCGTGGTCCCATTGGAAATTGCACCGACGGCCCACGTGGCCGCTTTTGCATGCGCCCACCGGACAATGTTTGGCACACCACTCACACGTTTCGTGGCCCTATAGGGAGCTCCTCCGAAAGCGGTGCTCGCAACTGCATATGGTTAGGTCCTTCGGCAGGCTAGTTTTTGTTGTTGTTCTTGTTGTCATGACGCGAGGGGGTCTGGGCCTCTTCGAGATTCTGTCCGTCCGAGACGGCGTTCTAGCCTTCTTTCGACTGCGCACGTTCGCCTTTTCAAGGGGTGCCTGGAGACGGCAGCTCCACGCACCTGCCTAATCGGGATGCCTTCCCCGCAGCCTCGTCGGGGCCCTCTCCTCGGAGGCCCACGTTGGGTTGTAGGTCGCCGTGCGCATTTTTTTTTTTTTTCTCTCTCTCTCTCTCTCTCTTTCTCTGCCCTCGCGGCTACGTTCGTCGGTGCGACTGGCATGGGGGAGGGAGAAGGACGAGGAGAAGGAGGAATGATAAGAAACAGCCACGATAACGTACACTTCTGGGGATCAGCGCGGATTTCTTGGATCGGCCCTGCACCGCCCGAGTGGCGCCTCCAGCCCCGATCCGAAGAATCTGTTCGGACCTCCCGAAGCTTAATGTTTGTGTGGCTGTCCTTGAGATGCGACATTGCAGCATAGCAAAAAATCACGACCGGAGCCCTGGACCCCATCTGTCTGCGTCATTTTTCGAGCCTGATCGATCTGTGAGGGTCCCGGGTTTGGAAACTGAGCGAACACGCCCGTCGTGAGAAAATTGCCACGCCAGGGTCTCAGGGTTTCTCTTTCTGGTAAGGAGGAGGAACGGAGGAGGAGCGAAGGAGGGAGGAGCAGAGGGGGGGACGAGTGGCACGAGGACCTGAATCCTGGGAAGAGACTTTGCGATCAGTTCTCTCCCGCTGCCGCTCGTCGAAAAAAGAGGCCAGCTTCAGACCTGGGCATCTGCGACGAGGCAGCCAGTCGCCCTGAGGGGCAGGACCCTTGTGGCAAAAGTGTTGGCGTCCACCATGCCATTGGGCCAATTTTTTGATAAGCCGGCTGCACGTCTGGGCTGTAGGCGGTTGCTGTAGGCGACCATATTAGGCAGCACGCCCGTATGCTGTGGGCAACAATGCCAGGCAGCACGCCACTCCACACATCAGAGGAGGAGCAGGAGAAGGAGCGGGGGATGGGGGGGATCGTTCCTCAGACCTCTGACGACTCCGTTTGTTCGAGTCGCCCGCCCCTGCACCTCTCGACCTCTTCTACGGGACCGGTGTTTCATCTCGAGCCGCCTTCTATCGCCCCAAAGCCTACATTATTCCCAGACACCGAAAACGGCGGAACAGATTCGGCCAAATTCCCCCAATCTCTTCTGGGCCCTGGGACTGTCAGAGAAAGATTCGGGATACATAGCTGGTAGGTCGAGAGGTCCCAGAGGGGGGGGGGGCGGCGACCTGAAACAATTGGGGCGCGTCGGGGGTCTGAGTTTAGTCCTGGCCCGAGTGAGGAAATTGGAGACACGGGAGTCACGGGAGTGAGATAGGCTCCCAGGGGGGAATTGAAGACAATAAACGAAGTGTTGGTCTCCAGAGTGAGCCCTTTGCAGAGAGTGGCGCGGGAGCGCCTTGCAGACGCAGCTCTGTTCATGCTATCAGGCTTCAGATCTTCAAGTTTGAAGTCAAGTTTTATAAATTGAACGTGCTCCGCCTGCGGGCGTGGCAGCGCGGGAAATTGCTTCAAGGCAGCGCGGCTCATTCCATGGGCTTAATTGTTGGTGCTCGATTGTTTCACTTGCAAAAGAGTATCCTTGTCTTGTTTTCTGATCTTTTCTACGCTAGGTGGTTCTGCGCAACATCTCCGTGGGAGACCTTGCGAGGGTATCCTGGTGCCTCCTCCTGCACTCTTCTGGTATCTTTGGCGCGTCCTGAGGGGCCTCTGGGGGACCTGCGGAGATTTCCTTGGGTCTTCTGGGGGCTTATGGTGGTTTCTTGGAAGCCTCTTGGGGCGCCTTGGAGCTGTATGGGCCCTTCGTGGGGCGAACTCGAAAGTCGGTTCGTCGTCCTTCTCTTGGGTCTCTCTTGGGGCTTTCGTGGGGCTCTCTGGCGCCGTCATGGTTGTTCTTGGACCGCCTTGGGGCCATCTTGCGCCGACGTGGAGCGCTTTTGGAGGCCTCCTGGGAGCCTCGTAGGGCGTTGTGCGAGCCTCGCGCGTCGTCTTGAAGTGATATCGATCATTGGAGCTGTGGGCGCTCAAGGCCAGACAGGTTGCAATACCAACAAGATACAAACACTTATCGGAGGTTGGGGGCTGAGATAGACATGGAACGGAGAGCCTCCACTGGGAAATCGGTTTCGGTTTCGGATTCGTGTCGTGCGCGCGGGCGAGTCGAAGCTGAGTGGGCAGGCGAGGGGAATGACTCCGCTGTGGCCAAAGCGGGGCGAGACAATTGCGGGGCGAGACAATTGTCTACCCCTCCCCCCCAATAGGCGGGCTGTGGCTGGGGGTGTCCCGCCGTGGTGGCCCGTTGGTGTCCCGTCGATGTCCCGTCGGTGCGTCGGTGTCCCGTCGGTGTCCCGATTGGTATCCCGATCGGTGCCCCGTCGGTGTCCCGATTGGTATCCCGATCGGTGCCCCGTCGGTGTCCCGTCGGTATCCCGTCGGTGTCCCGTCGGTGCCCCGTCGGTGTCCCGATTGGTATCCCGATCGGTGCCCCGTCGGTGTCCCGATTGGTGCCCCGTCGGTGTCCCGATTGGTATCCCGATCGGTGTCCCGTCGGTATCCCGATCGGTGTCCCGTCGGTGTCCCGTCGGTGTCCCGCTGTTGCCCCGTTGGTGCCGCGTCGGTGCCCCGTCGGTGCCCCGCCATGTCGGTGTGTCGTCGGTGTTCCGATCGGTGCCCCGAGTGGTGTTCGGATGGTGTCCTGATAGTGTCTCGATGGTGTCCTGGTGGTGTCCCGATAGGTGCCCCGAGTGGTGTTCCGATGGTGTCCTGATGGGGTTCCTGATGGTGTGTCGATTGTGCCCTGGTGAGGTACCGATTGTGCCCCGGTGGTGTCCCGATCGCACCCAGGTGGTTTCCAGCATCGCTAGTGAGATCGATGGCCAGATTTGGGGGGCGAGATCGCAGAGAACCCGATACTGCAAACGGTTCTCGGTGTCACCATCACCAGCTACGGGAGCGACAGCGATATTGATTGATCAAAAGAAATCGATGGTGACATCGATTAACCTCAGGAGGTCTTCAACTTGGTCCTAAAATCTCTTCCTCTCACACACACACGCACACACACACCTATATACATATATATATATATATATATATATATATATATATATATATATATATATATATATATTTATATATTATATGTATGTATGTATGTATGTATGTATGTATGTGTATATATATATATATATATATATATGAGTTGGGCCCCTGGGCGGTGCCTGTCATCTCCATGGGGTGTGCAGGGCGCCCCCGGGAGCGTCCGAAGCGTCCCGGAGGGCCCCTGGGACCGCCAGGAACAGTTCGAGACCGCCCAACACGGCCCGCGAGCGCTCCAAGACGCGCATAGATAGCTTCAGGAATGGCTTGGAAGGCCCGAAGACGTTTCAAGAGAGCTCCATGAGGCCCCGAAGGCATCCCAAGAGGCCTCCCAAGAGAGCCCCGACAAGCCAAAATCGTTGATGTGTATCGTTTTTTTCTAGGTTTTTGGCTTTCTCGCTTTTTCGGGGTTCCGACGCTCCAAGACCGTCCAAAAGTCTCCCAAAACCGCTCCAAGACGGCCGAAGAAGCCCCCAAGACCGCTCCAAGACGGCCCAAGAGACCCCCCAAATCGTCCCAAGACGGCCCAGGAGAGCCCCAAGATGGCCCAGGAGCTGCCCAAGACGGTTCCAGGAGAGCCCCGACAGGGCTTCAAGACTGCCTAAACGAGCCCAGCGGTCCCCAAGAGGGCGCCGCCAGGCCCCAAGAGGCCCCGAAGAGGCCCCCAAGAGCCTCCCCGGAGGCCCCCAGAGGCCCCCAAGAGGCCCAAAAATTGCCCTGAGCGCGCCCCAAGACGCCTCCAGGAGAGCCCAACAGGCCTCCGAGAGGCCCCCAAGAGGCCCACTGGAGGCCCTCAGGAGGTCGTCCCCATCATGTTCCCGGAAGGCGGTCCGGGAACATGATTCCGCTCCTTGGAGGAGTTTTCTGCGCTTTCCGAGGCGCCTTCCGAGGCGCCTTGGACGACGTACGTATGTTTCTATCGATTGTCCTTCTCCTGTGTACACAATCCTACATGTCTTGCGTATGTTTCTATATATATATATATATATAAATATGTATATAAAAAGAGGCCCACTGGAGGCCCTCAGGAGGTCGTCCCCATCATGTTCCCGGAAGGCGGTCCGGGAACATGATTCCGCGCCTTGGAGGAGTATTCTGTGCTTTCCGAGGCGCCTTCCGAGGCGCTTGGACGACGTACGTATGTTTCTATAGATTGTCCTTCTCTTGTGTACACAATCCTACATGTCTTACGTATGGGCTCTCTCTCTCTATATATACACATACGCACACACATTTATATATGTATATATACACATATATGTATATATACACATATGTATATATATATATATACATATATATACCCCTCCCCCAAGCCCTCCCGAGTCGTGCCACTTCCTTCCACGCATTTCAAATTCTTCCCCATATATAGAGGCCCCCAAGATGCCCAACAATGGCCCTGAGCGCGCCCCAAGACGCCTCCAGGAGAGCCCAACAGGCCTCCGAGAGGCCCCCAAGAGGCCCACTGGAGGCCCTCAGAAGGTCGTCCCCATCATGTTCCCGGAAGGCGGTCCGGAACATGATTCCGCGCCTTGGAGGAGTATTCTGCGCTTTCCGAGGCGCCTTCCGAGGCGCCTTGGACAACGTACCTATGTTTATATAGATTGTCCTTCTCCTGTGTACACAGTCCTACATGTCTTACGTATGGGTCTATACATATATATATATATATATATATATATATATAATGTATATATACAGGCCTCCAAGAGGCCCCCAAGAGGCCCACTGGAGGCCCTCAGAAGGTCGTCCCCGTCATGTTCCCTGAAGGCGGTCCGGGAACATGATTCCAAGCCTTGGAGGAGTATTCTGCGCTTTCCGAGGCGCTTTCCGAGGCGCCTTCGACGACGTACTACGTTTCTATAGATTGTCCTTCTCTTGTGTGCACAATCCTACATGTCTTACGTATGGGCTTTTCTCTCTCTCTCTCTCTCTCTCTCTCTATATATATATGCATACATACATATATATATATATATATATACATATGCGCACACACATATACATATATATATACACACGTCTAAATATACCCCTCCCCCAAGGCCTCCCGAGTCGTGCCACTTCCTTCCACGTATTTCAAATTCTTCCCCATATATAGAGGCCCCCAAGATGCCCAACAATGGCCCTGAGCGCGCCCCA